GGAAAACTATTAAACGTTTAATACCTCGAATATGACTGAACACATCAGAACAATTATTTAATATGTAAACAAGAACAAATTGTATACGAGCAGAAAAAGAGCAAGTGGATAGTTTTAGTAAAACTACAAGGGTCCGAAACTACAGCAAATAATAAATTGTATATAAATTATATATAATATATAAGTACACTACAGGAGTAACAAAACAAGAGCACAAAAAATTCAACGGATTTGCAAATTTCACATATATGAATGTATTTAAACGACTTTTCAATTACTAAACTAATAATGCTGCAAAAAAAAAAAAAAAAAAAAAACTAAAAACTAAAAACTAAAAATATAAATTGTTATAAAAAAATTTTGTTTCATATGAATCGAATAATTATGATTATCGAATAATTTATTAAGAGAAGTTTTATACAAAAATGAACGCCATTTTTATCGTTTTTCAATCGCATATCGCATATCGCATATTCAAGTGAAAACACATTTACATCGTTCGAGAGAGAAGACGTTAGAATGTATATCGGACTACAGATCCTAAAGAGTTTTTAACCTCATGCACATCCCAATAAAATAGCAATGTCCAATGCTTTAAACTCCATGAATTTTCAGCCTACAATCTGGAGAGATATACATATATATTGTTCAGACATTAATGCGCACATACCTTTCCTTTCTCTCCTCTTCTTATTGGTTGACACAATCAAGCAATGATATATATATTTTAATTTTATTAATTTAATTAATGATGGAGACTTGTAAGCAATTACATTGGTACATTACATTGTGAATACCAAAAATAAAATAATTAAGTTTTATTTTTTTAGATCATATGCGATTTAAAGTCTTATAAACATATTTGAATTATAAGTAATAATTCACGTATCTTTAGTTTTATATTGTAATATAAAACTAAAGATACGTATTCAGACGTAGCTCGGTAACTCGTTAATCAGTAAAATGGTAATATAACAAAGGTCTGAAGGCGGCTCTTTAGTTCTATCTCGGTTATTTTACTGCCACAGTAGCTGAAAAATTTATAACTTGTTCTCTTCTTTAATATTTTCTTTTCTATCAATATTTCTTTATTTACCATTATAACAAACACTTCAAATTTAAAATTTTGCATAACACTTCACTCACAGGAATCAGTTAAAATTTTACCAAATCACGAAACCATTATCAGAACTGATGCCTCCCTAACTCGTTAATTGGGTTACAGCATAATTTCATAAAAACAACAATATATTAAACTTTATCACTTTACCGAGTTACCAAAGATGTCTAAATACACCTATTAATTTTTAAAAATAATTTTCTCAGTACTCTATTATTCACTTGTTGATCTAAAACTAAGATTACTTTTGGGATTTCGTAGGTTGTATGTAACATCATTTATTCGATTCAATTTATACTAAACATAAGGATAACTAAATAATTTAACAAACAAAAGAGAGCTAAATAAAAGTGTAAAAACTTAATAGTGTTCATTAAAACATTGCTTCAGTTTTATTTTAAAACATATTGAAATTATTTTAAATTTATATTGTAATAATTTTTGTTTAAATTTAATTGGTTTGTTTCCTATTATTTTATAACTTTGAGTTTATAGATTATGTTAGTTGCTCGACTTACGATAGTCAGCATCATTGTTCTCCAGGTAGATTAGGGTTATCTGCTCCATATCGGGTAACTCCACTCTGTAGATAATCTCGCCTTATTTAATTGTAGAGAAGCAGTAGTAGAACAGAATAGTACAATGGTAGTAAAAGTTTAAACAGTAGCAGTAGTTATTATTGTGGCAACAGAAGTAGTAGTAGGTTAACAAACGCATGGTTGTAATTAATGTGGTTTAATTATATCATTTAATTGTTGCGTAGATATTTTATGTTTATTTTTATTTGTATTAACCGAATATTTGGGAAGATTTTGTAATAGCTCAAGTAGTAATATAGTAGTAGTTTAAAATGGTAGTGGAGTTGTGGTTTGGTGATAGTAGTAATAATAGTAGTAGTAGTAGCAAGTAGAGAAGTGAAATAGCGGATGTTTAATAAATCCAAAAGAAAAAGAAAATTCAATTATTTCTGTTCGTCGATTGCGTTTCTTCAAAACAATTCAAAAGAAAAAAAGAAAAACAAAAATAAACATTGTTTGTCGAATGATGACAACGAATTAAAAAATACAAAAGAAAATTAAAATATTAATGTCCTTATTTCATTAATGATTATACATATTACTAATTAATCAATGCTTAATCAATTAAGCAATATATGATATGCAACTTGGACACAATAAAATTATTTAAAAACATTTATTAAAATGTTTGGTGAGGAATTACTTTTTAAGAAAGAATTAATATTAACATTCATTAAATAAAATAGAAAAATTAAATAAAAAAATTAATATTGTAATTATTGTTTCATATTTTTAAGACCCTTCGCAATCACGACTATTTTTGAATGCAATCAATCACGGGGTATTTCGGACATCCCTATTAATAATTTTTTCTTTGATATTTTTTTTAAAATAATTTTAAAAATCTATTATCTTTTCAAATAATTTTTTATTTATTCATTTATTTAATTAACAAAATAATTTGAAAACTAAACACTGCAGAACATTTAAGTACTAGGTTCTAATCGAGCGTTAATAACAGGCTATAGTAAGATTCCACACAACAAAATATAATGAGATATTCATGTAATCATAAATCCTACTATCAGTCTAGAGCTAAAAATAACTGCTAAGAATAACAAAAAAACTGTTACGAAACATTAATAGGCCTGTTCTTTTGTAAGCATATCACAAAAGAACAACCGCTTATTTTAAAAATAACATATGAAACAACAACACTGCTGGCTTATTTAGTCCAATCTTTTTGAAATCGCTTAACTAATAAGCAGCTCAAATCGCAGGGTTACCAAGACTTAAAATTCATCTATTATGAACGAAATTTGGAAGTACATACGAAATTTTTAGTTAACTGTCAACGAATGATTTCGTTAATTCTTCGTATTTACTTTTTCAATTTATTATTTTACTGTTTAAAGGTATTAAAATTCATACTTTATTCACAATCATGTAAAAAAAATATTCCTTCCAATAATTGCAAAGAATTATTATTCATTTTCATTTTAAGTAATAGTTTAAATCATGTGTAAATTATATTATACTGTAAAATTGCTGATAGAAATTCTAGAAGAAAACTCAATAATAACTCAATAATCCTCTGTACACAAATACATAAAAAGTATAATTATTGTATTGTAATTCCCTTGTGAATAGATTTTTATTTATTAAATTACTAAATTAATACGAGAAACTCTCCAATTAGTACTGGGTTCTTTACCATGAAGGAATAGAAATTTATGCGAGCTGGTATAATTATATCTCCGAAATAATCATAAGATTGGTATAATAATATAAATACTATTAAATCAGTTTCATTCAAAATATGTGAAAAATTATGATTGGTCATTATGTGACAGTACCCTTTCCTCTACATTAAAAATTAATAGTTTATTAAAATATTTTACACCAAATATTGAAAACTCAAAAAGGCAAATTAACATATTAAGGAAACTTAGTAATAATTATTCAATAAATTCAATATCCTTTATATATTTTCAAGAAATTATATACTACAAATTTTATATAATTTTTTTTTCTACGCTATTTTAAATGCATTTTTAACATACCACACCCACCACACATTAGATTTTATATACATATTTATTGTTCATTAAAATAATAATTTAAAAAAATGGATGTAATACTATGTTCAAACTGACAAACTTCCTTAATTTCGTGAAAATAAAATTAAGTTAATTTTAAAAGTGTTCACACTACCCCAAATTAAGGAAGTCATATGTTTTTTGTTTACAAATCGAATGTTAAAAATTAAATGCTCCACAGACTATTTGTATCTAGGAAATTTTAAAAGTTGATTATTATAACTATGATATTCAGTAGTTTTATTAGCTATATTGGATTTTAGGTACGTGAATTATTATTTTTTACTCTATTTTAAATGAACAACAGTTACATTTTTTTCTCTATATTCAAATTTAAAAATACTAAAAAATACTGTGTTTCTGTGTGAACTTGTGTTTCCAAATAAAGCTGTAGTTTATAAGCTCGTTCTAATTTAAAAGCACGGCAAGTGCTTTGGTTGGTGTCACTAATTAAATAAAAATAAGCGACAATAAAACCTGGAACTTGAGCATTGAAACTTTGTGCAGCCTTGGCTTCTTGTGGATAAACACGGTTAGTCATCGGTTCTAATTTGACAGGCACGAGTTCTAGGCCTGACACTTGCAGTCCAAACAAATTATATACGGACCATAAACTAATTAAATAAAATTCGATTATTTCCAAAGACTACTGATGAAGAGTACTTGGCAATACTCGAAACAGCGTTGTATGGTCAGCCAAATTTCAATAAATTAAATAAAAAAATTTTTGTCTTTGCCTTTCTTTGCTATTCGAATCGGTCTAACATTAAAAAATACTTTTAAAATATTTTCCCGGTTTTATTAAAGTTAACTGTCACTGACATTTATTTGAAAAAAAAAATGTCACTTTTTCGTTATTTCAATATTATCTTTTGTTTAAAATTTATCTTACGTATAGTTGCATTTGAAATATTCCTTAATTTTAGCCTTCATTTCAACGAAATTAAGGTCATTTGCCTTCATTTCGTTGTAACCTTAAAATTGAATTTTTGTATGAAAACAACAACTTAATTGCGCTAAAACGAAGATGAACTTAAGATTTTTGCGAAATTAAGGTGTGTCTGAACATAGTATAAACTTCTTACCTAACAATATTGAATGTTTTGCTAACATTAAATATATATATTTAACTGTCTTTAAGGATCGGTCTATGAATTCATATAACTACTGAATATACTTAACATACTGACCCCATATTTCATAAGTTTTGTAAAAGCAAATTAAAAATTATGAGATAACTATAATCACAACATGCTACACAAAAATATTAATTTTTCTTTTGAAATATATAATAGACCTCAACCTCATCCAAAGCAGTCATCTCACAATTTATTTATAATATATATTAGGTTTACTCAAACATACACACTTTTTTATTTACATTTATTTCATCTCCTGACCTCCTGACCTCATGAGCTCCTGAGCTATGCATTAATTAGATGACTCAAAAGTTATTGCAACAAAATTTAATAACAAATTTGAAAATTGTTTAGCTATTTTATTGTTTAGCTGTTTACTATATACTATATCAGAGATATCAGAGATTCAAAAACTAATTAATTAATAAACATGAGTGAATAATTAAAAAATTTAAATAAAGTATAAAAATAAATATTAATTTTTAACAGATTATGAAAGAAAGTTCTCCCACCTCTTAATTTTAGTAAATATACAATTTCTAAGCTATCGCTTATTCAATAGATTAGTAGAGAATGCCTTTAAGATATATGTACGATTAATAAATGATAATATAAATTGAATAAAATACAATTGAATACAAGTTTAATATTAATTTATAATATTTCATTTCAAACCTAGCGAGTTTGAAACGTTTGAAGAACAGATGTATAGCTACACAACTTATATATAACATAAAACTAAAGTAAAAATAAAATAAAATGTGATCTGTACAAATGTAGTGTTATTGTTATTTTATTAGTTTTGTACGTACCTCCTTCAGCATTGGCATCGTCTTGTGTGTAGCAAAGCATAAAAGCTAGAAAATTAAAGAATTAAGAATGTTTTCTTTCAGTTAAAAGAATTGAAATAATAGAAGAGTGTAATAAAATGTACTAAGAACAGAATTTTTAGATAAATTTTATATTTTATATTAAGTGAACAAAAAACAGTTGTTGATATCCCAAAAATAGCTGACTAAATATGAAAACCTTATGAGGGACCTTATATATAATAATATATATGTAATAATAATGATTGAGTCTAAAATAAAAAAAAATAGGCTTAAGAATATGATTTCTGTTATGAAAAAAAGGCTACTGTTTTAAAAATATTAAAGAAGCTGTAAAAAATAAATGACAATAATAATAAATATATAAATACTACAGAGAATAAAGAATTCCAAAAATTTAAAAGTTAGTTAAAAATATTTTTAACGTTCAGTATTAACAATACCAATACGCTTCGATATAGTATGTGCCTCTGGCTCTGCCTCTGTACTTACTACTTTTTCAATACTACATACAATGTAAGGCACAAGTACTTTAAAATTAATTGTCTTCTTATTATTCACTATATAGTAATACCAAACTAATATCAAAAAGTATTTTAATGAAGAATACCTCAAGTCACATCAATATTGCCAGCATTTAACATCGTGAAGAGTGAAAATATGATCGCGCGAAATTTATCGCGGAATAGTGTAGTATTTGTAGCTTAAATGCTATTGTCTTGGTGATGCTTTATTGCTACTTCCAATAACAAACGCATAGGTCAGATTGGAGTGGTAGCCTTGTGTACCAAGTAAGCCCACTTGAGCTCAAATAATGGCCCGTTGTGGGACCACAGGAATAGCGTTGGGTCGTACGCATAGGGAGAAGAATTCAAGTTTTAAACAATCGCCACACAATAATCTAAGCGAGTAATAAGTTATCATGTTTTAGCGAGTATTATGATTTGGTGATGCTTTATTGTTATTTATAATAACAAACGTATAGGGAGAGGAATTCAGTTTTCAAACAATCGCCAGACAATAATCTAGACGACTTATAATTTATCATTCTTCGGCGAGTATTATCCTTTGGCAATTGTTTATGCTGGCTGGGATATAATGATGAAAACCTGATATAGTTATGGAAAACTATTTCAAAATGTAAATATTTAAATAAAATTTAAAATAATCAGAGTTAATTGTTTTAGGTAAAATGATTTTTTATATAAATGGCGTTCGAAAATCTGATCATTTTAGTACTGACTTTCAAGTACTGCAAAAAAGAAATGGATTAAATTTAACTTGATGATTTTTCATAGTATGACGCAATTCAAAAGGAGTATACGCAGTTTAAATCAGTTGTGAGGACATAATGACTGACCAACATATTGGTCAGTGAAAATCCGTAGTCATCATATATTTATATAAAACTATGTGTAAATTCATCAAAATTCAAACAAAATTTTCGTTGAAATCCATCAACGAAAATTTTGAGAATCTCAAAACCATCAAATTTATCGCATTTTAAGAGACATATTTGTGCATTTTCCAGCTTTATGATGGTCAACATACAAAATGCTTTTTAAAGAAAATAGAGTTTTTCAACAATAATTATTTATACATAAATCAGCTATTAGCAAAGGACAAGTTGTCCAAAGGAGTAGTTGTTGGAAAGGACAACTACTTCCTATAACTTTTATCATAAAAATTAATAAAAACGGTATTCATTCAGTTGATGTATGGTATTCAGAATGATTCAGAATGAAGTAAGACATGATGAATTTTAGCTAACTAAAATGAGAAAATATGCTTCAATCAAGGATTAACTTTAATTGATTAAGAAACTACAATTAAACTCCTACAGTTAAATATATAAATAAAATCTTAATATAAAACCTTATGCGCGTAATTCAAATCCAAGTATTGATATTGCATCAGTTAGTAATTGGTTCGATTGCTATCGGAAAACTAAAATAAATTAAAAATTATTAAACATTAAATTTTCTGACGCATCAATGGTACTGTACTGTCTACATTTCAACTTTAATTATATCTCTCCGATGCCACAACATCATTCTACGTGTATTATAAAATAGATGAATATTGCGCATTTCATTCAGAAACAAAAGCAAGTTAATAAATTCGTTTTGCTAAACCTTAATTACCCTTTACACAGATTTCTTAATAACATAGTAACAAAACGATTCTTAAATACAACCATAAAAATATTATATAGCTTAATTTTACTTGCTTATCCATTAAATTTACTAAAATGAAATTCGAAGTCCTCAATCCCGATCGAATGGACTGGGAAAATGGCACTCCTGGAGTAGAACCAAAAGAAGGAGTTGGTGCAGTGATATTTGGTCCTAACATTAAAATCTCGCTCGCGCCGGGTAATAACCAATAAAAACCAATAACAAAGGATAACCAAAAAAAAAAACAAAATTACTAAGAAACATAAATGGCACATGTGTATGTATAACCCTATCAACCGATTTCATCTAACATATTATAAATATATTAAATATCCGTTCAAGAGAAGGTGTTATAGAATAGATTAGAATAAAATGCTAATCTATTCGTTAAGTAAAACAAGAAATTGTGTATCGCTTTTAATTAATTCCAAAGATGCTTCAAAATTTAAGAAAATTTGTAGAAATGAAATCGTATATAAATAATGTCTTATAATTAGTAAATACATTTATATATTTCAATTTGATAGACAATATTGGTTCATATTGACAATTGAATATCGAATAACAATAATAACAATAACAACAATATAACAACAGTATAACAATAAGAACATAATATATAGACTTTGTAGACAAATTAAATTAGTCCAACAAATATTTGCTGCAAAAATGACATTCATTTTTAAAATAATAAACTTATACACTTACTCCGTGACATATCGCCTACGTATTTATATAAGATAGATAAAGTGAATAAGAATCGCGTACCTAGGATCCCATATCAATTTCATGATATGCGATTGCATAATTATTATGATATTGTATGATATGAAAATCAAAGAAAAAAATATATGTCATTATATTAATAGTGGAACGTTTTATAAATGCAGTGAAATATCGATTAGAAATTACAACAAATATTTTAATGTCTAATTTTTAGCACATTTTGGAACATAAATTTGAGAGCTATTCTTGCATTATTTATAGATCAATACGAATACATATATGTTTATATTGAAATTGTTCAAAATTACGTGAAATATATCATATTTAAATAAATATTTTCAAATAAATAAATAATATTTATAGTTTTTGAAGTTTTACTTTATAAGATGTGTCCATAAAGCTTGCTGTCAAGTTAAGACTTTTAATAAACAATGACTTCTCTAATATATTGTAAAAGACATCGAAAGCAATTTTAAGTTTTTCAACATCTTATTGTTATTACAATGTTAATAATAAAATTTAAATGTATATAATATTTATTATATGTTATTTTTAGTTTTGATACCGATTCGCAACAAGGATAATCAAAGTACACTGTATACTAATGCAAATTAACTAATGTAAAAGTAAATCACTTACGCTGTTGTTCATTTGAGTAATTGTTATTAACATTGTTAACATCAAGTTCGCTATTACTGCTAACGATTCCGTTCGCTGTTTAAATGTAGCCGACAATTTACCCATAATTTTCATATTTTAATTTGTTCCATTCATATCATTATGTATACATAAATGCGTTATTATGAATCAGACGTGGGAAACGAGCGTTTTTATTTATGAAATCACATGTGATGTTAAGATAAATAAAGTTATTGTATTAAGATTTCAATGAAATCAATGATGAACAGGACGACACAGTTTGTTTTGTCATGTAAAATTAAAAATAGAATTCAAATTAAAAAGTAAATATGTAAAATAAAATAATTTATATATTAAACATGTATTAAATCAAATATAATTAAAATAAATTTAAATAAATACACATATATGTAGTAAAACGTTTGCATTCGTATATTGCAGAAAGTATTCTTATAATTTTTTGTTTAAAATATTGGGGTACACAGTTACGAAATTTGATTTTGTTGGCAGATATGTATAGAATAACTTATTCATTATCACTTATATTTTTAATAAGCAGTTTAAATATTTTTATAAATAACTACTTACGCTCTTGATCACTACCATCTTCATTTTTTTCATCACGACTTTTCATAAATGGAAATTTACGTGAAAAGGTAAAATTTTTTTTCTTTCTGTCCAGTGTTGACTGCTGTTGAATAATATAATAAAAGAAAAAATAAAATTAAAAATAAAATAAAAACACTTTTATGCACCATAATAAATACCTTATCTATATTATTATTAGTGACAGAATGACCCTGAAATTTGACGCTTCGATCACGAGCTCTCATCTTACGCTCCCATCTCCTTTTAGATGGCACTATTCCAATTTGTTCTTCTTCATTTTCACCTAAAACGCGACGCGCCTGCCACCATTCATCATCTGATGCATTAGTGACATGTAAAATATCACCATGCCTAAATGGTAAACCTCTTGAAGGTAGTCCATCATCTCGATTTGGATCATAATCGAACAGGGCACGTACATATAATGATCGCTTTTGTGAAGTTCGAAGTAGAGTACCAGAGTTGCCCGCATTTATGGCGGCCTGCTGTTTTAATTCTTGAATACGGGCTTCAAATCGATTGTACTCTTCAGGCCTATATTGTGCAATTAAAGTGACTACACCTCCAGAGTTCTAGTATTTAAGTATTACAATATCACATTTAAACTTTGTTGGTACTCAGCAAATACTCAGTTGAACTATTAC